AACGTGCGACCAATAGTGTTCGTATTGAACTACGGTCACGTATATTTAGGAAAGATGGTAAAATATTTACTATTTGTCCTCAGTGCATCTTTTGCATACATTATTTTAAGCTAAACTTCATTGCTAAGTATGTTACTATACGATGTTCTTCAACAGGGACTCCCGATGAATGTTGTGCCTCATTGGATCGAGACTAAAAGTGGCATGAGAATGGTTAGCTTACGGCCAAGACATCCTACAATGCACTTTAGTGCATTCAGGATTTCTAAAAGCGAGGAATGCTTAATAGTGAAAGACTGGAGCAAAATTGTGAACAATCACAGAGAAGTACTAGGGGGCAGCAATCAGAAGTGCAACCCATGATTAGGAGACAGGTTCATCTGCATGCTCCAACATGATGAAGCAGGAGTGCTACACACGTTTTATGCTATTTTACCTAAGAGAGAGAGAGAGAGAGAGAGAGAGAGAGAGAGAGCAGCAGGAGTGATTAGCTAGCTAGAAATGAGTTTGAAGATGATGATGTGCTACACTATGACTATGATGATTAAATAGCTAGTGTTGGTGGTAATGACTATGATGACTATTATTAGCTAGTGTTGGTGGTGATTAGATAGCTACTGCAGCTAGTGTTGGTGGTGATTAGCTAGCTAGAATGAGTTTGAAGATGATGATGTGCTATACTATGACTATGATGATTAAATAGCTACTATTGGTGGTAATGACTATGATGATGATTAAATAGCTTGTGTTGGCGAATTAGATTCAAGTGGAGGCAACATGTGGTGCACATCGAAAGTACTACTAGTCCAAACTACATCAAGTCTGGATTAGTAGTATACTTTTGATATGCACCACATGTTGCCTCCACTTGAACCTAATCCACCTTCATTTGACACACTGTTATGGACATAATGATATAACAATCTCATAATTGGTATTGTACCAGAATTTGTATAATGGCGTATAAATACACTAAAAATAAAACAAATAAAAATAAAGAATACTAGTAGCGATGGAGAGTAAACACGCTACTACTAGCTATATTAGCAGTAACGTGGGAGTGAACAAACGCTGCGACTATATGTCTTAGCAATAGCGTGTGTCGCACGCGCTACTGCTAAGGAATAGCTGTAGCGCCTTACTAGTAGCGCGGTGTCCCGCGCTACTAGTAGGCATTAAACCCACGCTACTACTAGGGTTTTCCCAGTAGTGTCCCCAAGCCATGAAACACAATGACTTATCTCCTCGCAGTTTAGTTTAGCCACGAGACAGTACTAGGTGCTGTCTACCAACCGCCAGACATATTTGCTTGAATGGAAATAAGCTCTCAATAGAAATTAGTTGTCAACTATTTTTAAATAAACAATATAAATTATTTAATAAATATTGTTGAGAAACTCATATAATGGTAGAACTGGAGTCGTCTGGACATCGACCCAGATGTCGGTATTACCTTCAATTTCATCTTTCGGACGAATATCAAAGGTGATAATTAAGCATATTAGGCTCAAATGCATAAGCCTTGCATAGTGCTCTTCAATTTTTGCATTCAAAATAGGAGTAGGTGTATACATTGTGTAATTTTAGGGCAAAAGTATAACCATACTCAGACCTCAAGTGAACTCTCTTTACCTCCATACTGTCCATAGTACTGAAACCAATCTTATTCAAGACATAAATTCTTGTATGACAGGGGATATGCTAGTAGAATTGTAAAAAGTTAAAATTATAAGTTGAAGCAAAAGAAGCAAAAGTCATGCTTAATTACGAAAAAAGACTTGTCGTTGTGACTTACTGTATCCACTTCGAAGGTGTCATCCAGCGTGATGCTGAAGCGCCTACCACCAACCAGGAAGGCCTGTCGCAGATGTCGCGCTCGTCTTTGCAGTATTCACACATAACAAATTCCCTTGAAAATCATTGAAAATCAGACATTTCCTATGTTCATAGTTAAACCATTGAAAATCGATTGAAGGCAACTACCAGGAAACTCAACACACAGATCACTATTACTCAATATGCAACAGCTTGACTTTAGGTCTGTCAAGTCTTCCTTCCTAAACTCTTATCTCACATATATAGTTGGGATTCTTCCACTCTCACATTTCGACCGTCGGTGATGGTCGCTACTCCTCCTTTCCCTAGTGCATTACAAATATCCAGCAGAAGGAAAAGAAGGAGAAGCGACCCGCACGACAACAGTTGGGATTCCTCCTCTCTCATATGTACATATGGTGGACACTCTCCCTCACCGAAAGACACACAAGGAGCTGAAACAGACCTAAAGTCAACCCGTTCCATATATCGAGCAATGACATAGAAAAATGCCCTATGTTTTGCCGAAATATCATTGAATTCCCGTTCTAGCAAATCAAAAGCACTCGATATGTCCTACATTGTAGCACAAATCATGCTAAAATTCATGAAAAATTCGGCATGACCTTTTCTAAAGACATGACATATCGAGCGCCTGAAATTTACCGGAACGGAAACGAAGCAACATTCTGGCAAAACATAGGCCACTCGGAGGTACATTGCAAACAAGAACACCAAGACATCCTCTATATTCAGAATGCATCATCATCGACATCAATGACATGGCGACTAGCACTAGCATTTTCATCATCGACATTTACAACACATTATCATTTGGCTATTCTCACCTAAAGGTCTTAAGGGGTGGAGGATGGGGACGACTGCGGGGATGAGGCAGGGGCAAATACTTGATTTCTACATAAACAAAATATATTAACCACTTACTATAAATAAACTAGTTCTATTAAGCACTTACTATAAAAAAACTAGTTCTATTAAGCACTTAATATAAATAAACTAGTTCTATAAAGTACTTACTAAATAAACTATTTCTATTAAACACTTACTAAAAATTAAACATTGTTAACCTAGCCAACCAGACCCATATGCTCTAAACCCTACTACCCTAACTAAATTTTTGCTCTAAACTAAATGTTTGATCTAACCTAGCCAACCTAGTTAACCTAATGAACCTAATTAACCTAGCTAGTTAACCTAGTTCGTTAACCTAGATAATTAACCTAATTAAACTAAACCTAGCTAGCCAACCTAGCTAACCTAGCTAGGTTTAACTTTTACTAATTTACTAAAAAATATACACTATGCAAGAACA